CCTGCTGAAGAACTATCTACGTTGCGAAGAGGAGGAAGAAGACGATGCCATCGACGGCGTCGTTTTGAGGGAGATGGAGGAGGTGGTGGGGAAGGCGGAGATGACACCTGCTGACGTCAGCGAGGTCTTGATCAGGAACAGGAGGGACAGGAAGAAGGCGGTGAAGGAGTTGATGGAGGTTTTGAAGGAGAGAGCTCTGAAGAAGCGTAAGAATGGCGGATTTGGCGGGAAGGAAAAAGACGGAGGAGGAGAGACAGAGGAGGAAGAGCAAGAGAAGAGAGCGTTGGACAGTCCTAACGCCAAAGCAGATGTTTTAGGGTTTCAACAGAACGATCCCAAGAAAAAGGAAGAAGATGAGAAATAAAAAAAGGTGGCAAAATTTTCCGCCGGGATTCTAAAGAATGGTCAAAATTGGAATCCACCATTGGTGGATGATTTGCTAAGCCATTTTGGTCAAAGTCAAAACTGGTAAAAATTTCGTTAATATCATAGATTCATAGAAATTCAAGATGGGAGAGAGATTGAAATTGCAATGGTTGGATTGAATCTTTTGGTACTTGTTTTGTATCTCACTTAAATCAAAATGTTCTATGTTACGTGTGGATTTGACCTTATGGCTTCTGTTTGTAAATAGTATGGACTTAAAAATAATACATAGTTCGTATGAAAAAATAATAATAATAATAATAATAATAATAATAATAATAATAATAGATGCCGATTAAATCCATTTAGCTTTTTTATTTTGGGTGACTTTATGTGTTGTTGAATGGTGCATTCCGAATCAGCAAATAATGTCATGTAACGAGTCTTGTAACACATTTAGTTAATCATAGTGATAGTTGTTGTCGGAAACTTTAGAGATGATGTTGTCAGAAAAGATTGATAGAGAAAATTGGAAGATATGAATCTATTAGACATGGACTTGTAAATATTAATCATACAATAATCTTAATGATCATGAGGAGAATTGTATCTTAAAGTTTCGTAACACATTTTGTTATCGAAGAATTAAAGTATAGGCTAATTTAACAATTACCGGAAACAAAGGGGACTTCAATGGAGGGTTACTATTCAGAGTGAACCTTCTAGATGCTGGAGAGTGTCTGCTCTCTCGGTGAATCTTTTGTCCCCTCTTAAAACCCTATTCTCGTCCTGCAACTGCGAGTGCCAAGTTCGTAGCTTTTCTCCATTTTCAAACCTTCAATGGCGGAAACTTGTCACCCAGAGATTGAGGTATTCCGTCTGATTCTCTCTCCTCTGTAATTGATGATTCAGCTAAGATCAAGTTGGTAGGTTTCGCGAAACACTTCATGCAGAACTTGCTACTCAGATTGCATCGACATTTTCCACTCGTGATCGATCTTTTCACTGGTTTCCGCAGGTGGGTTCTTCGAATAACATGATGTATACAAGTGATGTCTGCTCTATATCTCTGGAGCTGTCGGAAAATGATCCCTTTTATCAGCAAAAAAAGGTGCGAGTTGTCAAATTAATCTGCCCTTCATATCCAGAGTCTATGGACTTCAATAGAATTCATAAGATTAGGGTTTTTCACTTAGCAAATAATGGAACTTTACTGCATTTTCCATTTCGGTGAACGAAGTTATGTGGATAGATACAAGTCTGTGTCAGTAAGAGCGGATACAGCGGAATTGGTCATCAAGTGTTTTGCTTTGTTAGTGTCTCTGTTGCTCATTAGTTCCTAGAGGTTTGATTGCATCTACAATTACATAAATTAAAATTAAATTAAACCCACGATGGAGAGTTTGGTATGTGAAATTATATCTTGTTTGATTTATTTTTAGATAATTGACTCTGCTGCCTTGGATTTTGGATGGCAGAAGTTATTGCATTGCCAAGGTTTTGGTGTTAAGGAAACGTTACAGCTAAATAGCTCATTGTCGGCAGAGTCCTTCAATATTAGATTCGAAAAATTGCTTCGTTTTGCGAGAATAACAAACCTAGATGAGGTAATCCTTCTCTCTCTCTCCCTGATCACTTCACAGGAAGAAAATCTCTACTTGGATTTCGGTATGGCCTTTAACCGTATATAGTTGCTGAGTTGATAGGATGAATGATTTGCAGGTTGAACTTTATTTTGGTGAGGACGCATGTAACTCAGCGGGAATTTACAGTGTTAGAAACGAGATCTCAGCTCACAACTCGATTCTTTCACTCATTGACTTTTCTTCTAAAACACAAACAGAAGTCGATTGTTTGAAAGCTTTACAAGGTGTTGTAATTGGTCGGATCAACGAGTTTGGAGCAAAAAATGAGGAAGCTTTTGTTGATAAAAGCTATAGATGTGAAAAAGAAAACGTATTAGTGCAATGGGGTCAAAGCAATGGAGTCAGAACAAAATTGCAGATTGCTCGTAAGCAATCATGACCGTTTCCCGTTAAAGAGTTCAACTCTTTTACAGTCTTCGACTTAATTACTTATGGTGATGTGTTTGTTGGGTAGAGATTGAAGGGTTTGGCCGAGGAGCTATAGCAAGCGAAGATTTAAATGTCGGAGATGTTGCCTTAGAGATTCCGGTTGCCAATATCATTTCTGAGGAGTATGTGTTCACTTCTTACATGGTATATATCATCATTGGGGTTAGAGCTAGAACATGTTTTTAATCGAATGTCACAGATTATGTTGGCCCGTCATTGTAACTTCTTGAGTGCTTTCTTGCCTCAAGTACCCGATACTGGAGAAGATAGATGGGATGACATCTGAGACAATGTTGCTCTTATGGACCATGAGGGAGAAGCAGAACCCTGACTCAAAATTCAAGGCATACTTTGACTCACTACCCGATAAATTTTGTACAGGTATGATCTGATTGATCATGCCCAATTACTTATCCAAACCGACAGTTTTGTTCTGAACGAATGATAAAGACAAGTGAATGCAGGTTTGAGTTTTGGAGTTGATGCAATAATGGAGCTGGATGGCACTTTGCTTCTAGATGAGATCATGCAAGCTAAAGAGGTTAGGTTCTAATCGTTAACTTCCAGTTCCGAGTTTATTATGTTTTATGATACAATGTTGATTCTTTTGACACTGTATATGTGCAGCTTTTGCGCGAGAAATATGAAGAATTGTCACCCGTTTTATCCAACCATCCTGATATATTTCCACCTGAGCTCTACACATGGGAACACTATCTATGGGCTTGCGAGCTTTTTTACTCCAACAGCATGCAAATAAAATTCCCTGATGGAAAGTTGAAGACTTGCTTGATTCCTATCGCCGGTTTTCTTAACCATTCGGTATGTTTATTCTCTCTTCTAGATTTTTTTTTTGCACAAATCATCATTCCTTTTCATAACGAAAATTCTGGGTTTTATTAAAGCCGAGACCTTTAACGTTAGCATTTTGGTTGGTTTGCAGGTATATCCACACATTGTGAAATACGGAATAATAGATGGCACTACGAGTTCATTGAAGTTCCCACTCTCGAGGCCTTGCAGAAAAGGGGAACAATGTTATCTTAGTTACGGAAACTACTCCAGTTCACATCTCATCACATTTTACGGCTTCTTACCAGCAGGCGACAACCCATACGATGTCATTCCCTTAGGTACTTTCTTCTTGTTTTTGTTTTTGTTTTTTTCTGTTGTTGTCTCGATTAACTGCTGAATCTATGTTCCATGCAGATATCGATGTTTCTGAGATCGTTCAAGATGAAGAAAACGCTGAATCTTCTTGGACAAATCACATGTTGCGAGGGACTTGGCTCTCGAACAACCATGGCATCTTCCACTACGGCTTACCTACTCCGTTACTGAATTACTTCCGTAGTGCTCATGGCATTGTTCATCGTTCTGAAACCGATGTATCCTCCCTATGAATCAACGCCCTTAATTTTTTTGCTTATGATAATCTTGTTCTCTAGATTTCTCTCAGGACAAAACTGACATAAAGTTCTTTCCTTTATTTTCTTCTTCTCTTTAAAGCTGTTGCAAAACTTGGAAGTTGAGATGGAAGTGCTCGAAAATCTCAGATCCACATTTGAAGACATGATGCAGAATCTTGGCGATGCAGATTCTATGGACAGGTAGTGCAGTTTATGACGAGATTGGAAGCGTTAGATGTTAAATCTTTCTGTTATATCGATAAAAAATCCCGTCTTTTTCTATCCGTTTCTTCAGAGAAAACGTTAGCCGGGGCGTAAAACTAGCCGTGGAGTTCAAGGATCATCAGAGAAAGATAGTGTCTTCCATCCTGGATTCATGTTCCAAGGGACAGAAACTGATTCAAGAAGCAATGTCTGAGCAGCAGGTGTAGAAGAGGAAGGACGAGGATACCGAATCATCGGTTAAGCTAAACCGGAGAAATACCGATCTCGGTTAGAGATGGAAAACCGGGTTTGCAATGTAATCTGTTGATCTTTGGCAACAATTATCTAAAAAGGAGATTGAGTGGGTTGGATGTGCGTTGGTGGTTTAAAGAGTGGTTTAAACTAAAACAAGTGGAAGGCATTGGTGGTTCAGAGAGGTTGTGACTCAGATTCCATGAAATTTGTTGGACAGTCTTTTTCTCCCTAACATTATTAGATTAATCATTAATATTTATTTAAGTTTTACTTCACCTATCTGTGGATTAACTGCTATTTGTATGGTACTCCTATTTGTATGGTACTCCCTCCGTTTCAAAATATTTGAAGTTTTAGATTATTACCCATGTTTCAAAATATTTGTCATTTTACATTTCCAATACATTTTTTAAAAATAATTTCCAATTTTATCCTTACCAAATTCCAATACATTATTAATGATAATATTGTTTTTATTATTAAATAAAGGGTATATATGACTTTTATTTTCATTTCTTAAAAAATGTGAAATAAGTTAAAACAACAAACATTTTGAAGTACTATTTTTCATTAAATTTTCAAAGAATTTTAATCTGAAATTATCTTTGTAAAATATGAAATATTTCCTTTTTTCGTAAAACAATGCTTATAACTAATTTTTATTTCTTTTTTTTCTAGCATTTCTCTGTTCTTACAATTCTACATATCCTTTCTAACCTTTTATTTTTATGTTCATAATTCATATTTTGTATCAAATATATTAAAAACTAAATACTATTATTATGAAAATTTGCCATCTTCATCTTAACTTTCTAATTTCTTATTATTTTTTTCTTTGATTTTCTAAATTTATCTCGCATTATATATAATTTTTTTGCTAAATTGATGCAATGTTAGTTAAGCATATATTGAATGGGAACAATATTTATTGGAAAATATAATTGAAAGCAGATGAATATGCTTCCATTTTTTTTTATCATCAGTAAAGTTCTTTTTTATAGTTTCCATTTTTTATTATGTTTTCTCTATACTTATTAGTTATATTTAAATTTTCTATCGTCTTATTTAATTTCCGTTTCCATGTATTTCCAGTTTATATGTTTTTTTTTTTTCTATCCATTTTTCTCTTTCCTCTACAACCTCCATTTTTAGTGTTTTTTATTTTGTTTCTTTTAACATGTTTGCAATTTTTTATTTCCCTTATAAATAATTAATTTCTAATACTTTTCTCTCTCATCTGTTATATTTCTTTTTTACATTAATTATTAGTTTATATTTGTTTCAATATTTTACCTTCGTAAGTTACCGATTTCTGAATAAAATCCTAATTTATTTTTCCTATTTTTCCGTATATAAGCTTCTTAAATTTTTTTTATAATTTCCTTTTTCCCATATTATTTTTCCCTTTTTGTTTATTTTGATTTTTCATTTTTTTTGTTTTTATTATTAGTTTTTGACAGAATTCTGTATGATTCATTCATTTAGATGAGATTCTTGTTTCACGCTTTACGCATGCCACCTAAATGTCAGCATTATTGAAATTAATTGAGTAAACAACACATCATTATTTATTTCTAAAATCCAACGAGTCATCAAACTTTGACTCTACAAATATATATATATATATATATATGTATATGATGGTATGATTGAAATATAACATGTTAAAATAAAATATTTCATATTTGCAAATAAATTAATGAAAACGATCCAACGGCCAAAAATTGAGGTGGATGTTGGCGTCGGCAAATGGGAGGAGCCCACCAGACCCCTTCTTGTCGTTTTCGAGGTATGAGTTAAAATCAGGTGTTACCAAGACTATAATAACTCATCAATGAAAACATGCCACGTGTTAAGATCATCCCTTGGTTATCAGCCTTGCCCATATAAGTTAGTTGGCACAAGATTACCAGCTCTTTGATCTTCCATTAACCATTTAATTAAAAAGAAATCGAGAATTAACAAATATAATAAAGGAATAAAAAAAAGATAAAAAGCTGAACGAAAGAATTGGTTTTTCTCTTCCCATCAAAAGGGGGAGGAAAAGAGAAGAGGACGGGAATCTGTTTGGATAATCGGAAAATCTTCCCGAGAAAATTTCGGGTGGGTTTTCTCGATTGATACCGCTCGTGCCTTTTGTCGGTTCTTCTCCTGTTATTGTTTCTTCCGTGGTGGCTGTGAAGATGATGGTAGCTAACAGCTTCGATCTATGGCAAAAGGACGATTTCTTCTCCGCAGCCGAGGAGGTTCAAGACTCTGCCGATATGTATGTCTCGATTCTGCGTTTATGATTGAGCTGAATCCTTAGGTTTTCCCTATGCGTGATTTTGGCTGTTTATAGATTCGCACGGATTCGTGTATCTTGTGATGCTGGAATTGGAAGTTTTATGGCGGATTTTCGTTATCCCGTCAATTAGGGTTCTTCAGCTCGTAATCCTGTCGTTTATCATAGAACCTTGTCTTGGGAACTTGAGTTATCATTCCTTTTGTATATATGTTTTTCTAAACGTATACTATTTCAGTTGATGCATCTCCCATCTCGAATTATCTAGCTAGGGTATTCTGGGTGATTCCTCAATCAAGGGTTTTGAGATTTTGAGTTATAAATAAATTTGTGGGTTTGCTTTTGTGCTTTGTCTTGATGCAGTAGAGTTATAAAGGTCTGGAATTATGATTGTGAGTTTTCCCTCCTGTTTCTGTCTATCTGTTGTTTTTTGGCAGAATGGAATCAGCATATAGGTTGTGGGTTCGGGAGAAAAGAGAAGGTCGAGCACCTGATGAACTGAATGAGTTTTGTCGGGAACTCCAAGCGGCTTTAGGGACAGCGAAATGGCAGGTAAGCTCCTGTTCCTTTCTCTTTGGAATATTGCTTGATGTCGGAAAGTCTAGTTGTTTTGGTTCTTGCTTGGAAATTTTCTGCGTCTTTATTCGTCCAGCTTATATGTGTGAAGCTTTTACAAGTTGTAATTCGGGTGTAGTAAACTTTTGAAACTCTGAAACAGTTGGACGAGTTCGAAAGGGCGGTCAGGACGAGCCATAGACATTGTCGGGACGACACTACATTGACTAGGCATAAACAATTCATTGCTGTAATCGAAAATCAGATTTCTCGTGTAGAATCTGCTTTGCAAGAGGCTTTCTGCGAGGACGGGAAACAACCCCTTCGTTGGGTGAATCTGAACGAAGAAGAACGAGATGACCTGGCAATGTTTCTGTCAGGAACTTCTCAATCGTCGTCACAAACTTCTAACAGCGGAAGCGTCAAATCGAGAAATTCCATGAAGAGTTTCTTGGCAGAAAATCCGGATGGGATGAAGGAAACAGAGATTGTGTCTACACTTAATTGCAGCAGGGACACCTCCAAGGAGATTACAAGCAACGATTACAATAATTCCGACTGTGTGATAGACATTGAAGAAGGAGAAAGCCCAGGAAGCATAGACGCCAGATTGCGGCAAACAGATAGAAAAGCCGGTACCAGAAAAGCATGGAGTTCACCGAATGTCAGTGCATTGAGGATTGTAATTCCTGATGAAGAGGAAGAAGAAAAGAAGACACTGATTGCGGGAATCGAAGCAACCCCTAAAGAAAAGGGAGCTAAGCCGCTATTTTGGATGCAAAAATGTCGTGAATATAGTCGAGTAAGTTCCAGAAATCAGATCACGTGATAAAATATGGATGACTGATGGGAAGTTTATGACTTGTTTAAGCTATTTTTTACAGCACTTTGACAGGGCAAACTGTTTCCAGAGGGAGCATCAGAGCCCAATTCGCCTGAGACTTAGTCGCCCAATTCAGCTGACTCTTTCTTTAATGCTGATGCTGTTTCTTCTATGTGAGTCTTCGTTCTCCCTGGCCAATACAGATTGATATTTCATCAAAAAGGTTGTGTTTTGCCGATGCATTCTCCGATATTGAAGGTACCCTTTATGTTTTTTCTTATATCTTATCGAGATAACCAAGATTTATCTCCATTTTTTTTCCTCTGTAGTGCCATTTGTATTGTATTCATCTTGAGAAAGACAATGGTGTGGTTCCGGAACTTTGTCGGGAGCTCAAGTGAAGAGTTTCCTGCAGAGGGTACAAGAGGGACGGAGGGAAGTTATGGTAACTTGCATCTGAAGTAAACATTCTAGAAGCAGAGATGATCGTAGATCGGTTTCGTAGGGTTCAAGTTTCCCTGTGACAGAACTGCAGAGCGTAAATGCATGTTTGGATATATTATTGTTGTGTGGACTTGTCCTGATGAAAACGTGATCTCTATTGTTCTTCTGTTGTCGGAACAACAGTCTTTGTCCCTATATGCGTTTAATTTACTTCACTTATTCTGGTCTTATATATATATATATATATATATAATGGTGATCTAAATGTTTAGTGTCGAATGCTAATTAAACCTTGACGTCATATTTTAATAATTGAATATCTCCATGATTGGTCAGATTATTACGCTATATATTAAAAAAAATAAAAATGTATGTTGTTCATTTTAATTGTTTAGAAATTTTGGAAGATTTAGTTTAAAATCGAAATGAATAGAAGAAATAATTAATATGGATAATCTTAATAAATTTTGGGATTAAGATGTTGTCGTTATTGTTTAATTGGTATATTAAACGAAACTCCAACCGTGGCATGGCATGGCATCTATCATCACCGTAAAAACAAAAAGCTTCTTGTTCTTATAAACATTGTGAATCATGTACAGAAAATTTAGATGATATGTATACATGTATATATCTTCTCATAAACATTGAAACTACTATTTAACTAAACAATTATTACATTAGGGTTAAGTTTTTTTTTTTACAAAGTAGAGTTTTCTTTGCCTATTTTATGTGAATTTTAATAGATTTTACAAAATATAATTGGATGAATAAAGCCCTTTGTCTTAATGGGCCTGGTCTAGGCCCAAACGAATACAGGTTGAATAGTCAGAAAATTCCACGCGAAGGGAAAGCGCGTGGGCGGGAGAGGGAGAGGTAACTCAGCTGTCGAATGAGAAAACAACATATAGAATGGAGATGATTGCTTGGAAATATTTTAGAAATGAGAGTTTATAAATTTATAAAAGAAATTACGTGTGAATTATATAATTTTTTTAACATTCATAATTAGCTTCAATGTTTGAAAATCTATATTTAATTTTTCATCCAACAATTACTTCGATCCTCTTTCATCTTGGACTGTCACTGATATCGTTACACACGTTGCATACATTTTTGTAATATTTGTTTGTGGTGAACGAATCTAGAAGAAGAGTGTGGGAACAAAGTTAGGGCGGAGGTCGTAGTTTAGGTGGGATGTGCAAAATCCTCCACCATATACTTTTGAAGCAGAAATAATAAAAATATAATAATTGCTCGAGTGACAAAACCATATGATATATATCTCATTTAATGTTCGGCGAATTATAATCGATCATTCAAAAGGAAACGTAATAAATGAGAGTGTGATGTGAATGAATTCTCATGCCTCTTTCTCTTTGTGATCACCATTCATTTCTCCCACCCACTTAACCCAATCATGAAATAAAATACCCCCAAAATATAAAACATATAAACAAAATATATTTGAATTATAATAGAAATATTGAAAAAAGCAACTATCGATATCTTTTCCCAAAAAAAAAAAAACATAACAATACCGATACTACTCTCTCACTAACTGAAAGTACATTGACAATCCTATCCTTCTCTCTCTGGTTAAATAAAAGACAAGCCCATCGGGCCCTGAAGGGTAATTAAGTAAATTCATGTGACGTATGTGGCACCCAAAACGGCGCCGTCGCGGCCACGCTCGTGGGTTCCTTGCAGCTCAAAGCCTTGAGAAACCTCCAAGACGACGACGGTGACGAAGAAGACGGAAACTTGCCGGATCTCCGGTCGCAGGGTGACGGAAAAATCACCGGAGTAATATTACGGCGAGTCTGACGAATCTTTATGTCCCTTAGCTCAATCTCCGGTGGGAACTTAACCATTCCAAACATGATCATATACCATCTTGGCCTAACGCTTTTCCCGCTAAACGGAGCCGTTTCAGAGATCTTCAACGGAGCCTCCGAAGATTTAGGAATCTCCGGCGAAGAACCCTTAACCGGAAATTTGCGATCTTGCTCCGGAGGAGAGAATTTCCCGATGCTTGAGACGCAAGTAAGCTTGCGGTAATCCAAGGAACGGCTGTTTCTGGTGACTCTTGGCGAGCTGGTCGACCGGTTCATCCTATGGCCTTGTAACGCGGGTAATGACTCGGACCGTATTCGGACACGAGGGCTGGTGTTTGTACGGACGTTGTCGGGACAGAGGGTATTTTGGTCATTCAAGGGAATGAGTTTGCCGCGGAAGATGATGTTTTCTGCCGGAGATACGTCGCAGGTGGCGGAGCTGAGGAACTCGAAGAACTCTTCCGGAGGATCTTGGTTGTCGGAAGCTGATGTGGCGGAGGTTTGGTCGGCTTTGAGGGGAAGGTCTCGAAGAGATAGCGCTTCTTCTTCTTCTTCTTCTTCAACTACTTGAGTTTGGTGTCGGGAAGTTTCTTGTTCTTCGTCTTCTTGGTGATAGTGATTTGGTTTTTCGAGTTTAGGTCTTTGGAGAATTGTATTTTCCGAAGGTTCCATGGTTCTTTCTTTCTCTTTTTTTTTTTTAATGGAGAGAGAGAGAGAGATGAGTAAGGGAATGAGGATTTTGAAAGCAAAAGATTTTGTCCCCATATATTTATATACATGACCTTTCTGTAAGGGGTCCAAAATCTTTATTTAAATCGTTCATATATATATATATATATATATATATATATTTATATTTGTATGTGTGTGGCATAAAATTGTAAAAGGAAAAAATCTAAATGACGTAAAGTAATCCAATCTCTATGTTAAAACGGCTAATTGATTTCCAAAACACATATGTTTGTTTCAACGGATGATCTACTCTGTTTCAAAATATTTGTTGTTTTGAGTTATTTCACATGTTTCAAAATATTTGTTGTTTTGAGTTATTTCACATGTTTCAAAATATTTGTCATTCTGACATTTTTTTACAATAATTTTCAATTTATTCCTACCAAATTCCAAAAAATTATTAATGATAACATTGTTTTTATCATCAATAAAAATATTAAATAAATGTATATATGACTTTTTATCTTTTAAATAACCTATAACTACAAATATTTTGAAACGGAGGGAGTAGTTTTTTTTTTAAATTCACTGTATATTCGGTCTAACTAAATCTCTTAAAAGATCGGAGAAACCCATGTAAATATTTTTCCCAAATAAAGATTCAAACCTAAATTGTAAAAAAGTTTTACTACTGAACGAATAGATTTTTATCATATCATTGCTTTACAAAATTACGTAATCAATAATTTAATATAATTGGTTACTGTATATTCTTAACGTCGTTATGTAAATTAGGATAACAATAAAGCTAAACGAATAATAATTATTCGGAATAACATTTCTATTTTCTCCCGTATTGATCCCTTTAGTAAGGCAACTGCCCACTTTCTCATATATAGTTGTACACTTTTCTAGATATTTGGGCTAAGGAAATTGAAACTATACCTTTAATTATAGAATACAATACCATATATATATGTATATGTGTATGTATATAATGGGGGATGGAAGAAGTGGAAACGTAAAGGAAGGCGAGAGGGACACGAAGAATAATAAGCTTTTTCAAAAAACAACAGCTTATGCCCCAAGACACAAGTCATAATTATGTTACTTAGACCACATCGCTTGCCCTCTAAGTTTGATTTTATTTTTGTGGTAAAATGTTACTATTACATGAAATGACAATTTTCGATTAGCAATAGAAAAATTGATAATTATCCACAATTTACAACGATGATGCCCTTTTTGTTCTTTAGTAGAACTGGTGTTTCAAGTTTCATCATTGATTTTTTTCCCCAAAATTTCGAAACAAAGACGCTAATACAGATATAAGTAATGATATAAAAATGTATTAGTTTTTTTTTAAACGAGATTCGTTTATTAAGTTCTCAAACCAAACACATATTATGTTGTCATTCATTTGTACAAAATTTCAGATTTTTAAATGCACTTGAAACACACATTCAAACTCTACCAAATTATACAAGTGCCACTTCATATTTTTTTTTTATTATCGAATGATAATTGTTGGATAAAACTTTTGCAATGGGTAATAGTTTCTTCTAGCATCCATCTTTTTTTCCCTTTAATTTTATTGAAAAATAAAATATAAAAATTAAATAAGAAATAAGAAATAACAAAAAAAGAAAAAAATCAGAATTTTTATTACTACATCTCTTCTTGTTGTTGTTGTTATATTTTAATGAAAATGACTAACATATATATTTATAGAAAAATTAACAAACAAAGTAAAAAGAAAATATAAATACAATAGACACAAATAAGATATACCATGTTTGTTGTAATAATATTATGTCCATTATTATTCCAATTATATCTCAAAATATATGTTTTATTCCGGTCACATATTTATTTTTCTATCTGAATAAATTTTTGGTACAAAATACATCATTATCATTTCTATTTATATAGTCGATTGACATTCTAAAATAATATAGGAAACCAAAATGGATATGCCATCACAATAAACGACTAAAGGGTTGGAACAAAGTAACAATACATACATGGGAAAAAAGGACAAATAATAAAGTTCCATATTCAACAGTTTATTTATATTGATAATTCTCTTTTTTTTTTTTAAAGTTGGGTTTAGAGTTCTAATGATACATTTGACCCATAATTCAATTCAAAATGTTCAACTATTGGATGGTCAGAGAAAGTCAGGCGAACAAATTAACTCCGAACATCAAAGCCACCAAATTTATGTATTGGACTTCTTATATTAAAATCATAAGTTTGAACAATGAATAAAATAGAAACTTTTTAAAGAATTCAAAACTTTTGTACATGCCTGGTACATACCCAATTTATCTCTAACATATAGTAAATTTATTCAAATTTCCTGGTAATACTATTCAAACACACACACACATTTTTTTTTTAATAATCCGGAAGTTCATCGGGCCTTTGGCCCAACTACATCTCTCAGAGGATCGGGGCAGCCCATGTGAAAACCCCTCCCTAATCAGGAATTGAACCACCAACCTCTGAGTGCTTTGCACCCAACTGCTGACCACTCGCCCACAAGCTGTTGGATCACACATATATATATATATATATATATATATACACGTATATGTATATTTATAATATTCAATAATAAATAAAGATCAAATGAACTTTTTGGATTTGTTTATACGTCGGATATTTAAACCAAAAATTTATTATACTAACTAAACAGGTGAATTTCCAACGCTTTATTAATAAAACAATTAAATCTTTATCATATATATAAACAAGATGAACTACCCAAAAATTCGTAACAAGGCATATCTTTTTACGTAAACATATTCATATAGAAGCTGAAATATTCTCTCTTATATAATTAAATTACTGTAATCTTTATATTTAAAATATTTTTTATTACACACACTATACATGTATGTAGTACATGTCAATTTTGCTAATAGCGATACCTTGCCTTGTGAGTGAGGCAACAAGAGTATGTATATTATATGGTCCTCTCGTTTTCTCTTCTTTCTTTTCCAATTTTTTTTTTTTTTATTTTAATAAAATCTAAGAGTTTCAGCTATAGTCCACAAATGTTTTGTGTGTTAGGTGGTAAACTATAATTGTTATTTAGTCATTTATTTTAGTCACAATTTATTACTATTTTTCGTTCAAATCACCATCTAACTTAAATATTTTGTGTTATTGTTTAGTCATTTATTTTTATAGAGGGCATATATGTAATCTTATGTTATTATGATTAGGTTAACTCACTTGTATAAATACCCTAATGATTGTTAATAATAGTTAAGCTACTTTCACAAACGTTATGATTTTAATCATAATTTATCATTATTTTTCGTTCAAATCACTATCTAACTTAAATATTGTTAGACTATTAGTATTCATTTCAAATAAAATTTACCATACAGATTTAACATATATATATATATATATATATATATAATCTTATTTGGGCAATGACCCAAATAAGCATAGTAAATGGGCCAAGATGGTCTAATATTGGGCCTTTGGGGAGATACTTTTTTGGGGCCTTCTGGTATTTGCAATTACAAGTTGATGAACCTCGGCAAAACCCTAGCGAAATCGAGGCGGAAACACGCGCGCGGTTTGTCTTCTCCGATCGGCGAAGCCCTTCTTCGCTCGCTAATCAATGGCGGTAAGTTTCGGTCTTTGAGCTAATTGGACTCTTGCTGGTAGGACGCTGAATTTCATTCTTCGTTTCCGTGGAACTTAGGGTTTGGAATCGTGGTGTCAAGTGGTTTAGGGCAATGAAAAGCTTTCGGATCTTGTTTTCTGAGATTTCTTGCATAATTTTCGTTGGGTTTTCTGATTTGTGATGAAATCTGGAAGTATCAATGAATTCAAACCATTGTAATCGAAATGTTACTGTTTTCATGTATATTTTTGCGAGGTCTGTCTTTTTGAATGACACTTTCTTTGCATTTCAAGAGCTGTTTATTTTATATCGCTTGGGAAACATATTGAGTTTTTATGTTGGGTTAGATACTTAGATTTTGTCAGTTTGGATTCAGATTCCATATTTTGATGGATCTATAGGAGTAGATGGAGTCATTATCAAAAATACCTTTATTTTGCTATTCATATTTCAACATATACCCTCCTCCAGTTGTGACCATGTGACTAATGTGACCCAAAATATAGTGTGGTCACATGTTGATTTCATTGTTCATAACGTTAAATTTATGATGTTTTAATCAAATAATTACTAAAATATACAATATATGAACATAATGAAATAGTGAGATCACCATAAATTTAACGTTATAATCAATAAAATCAAAATGTGATCATACTATATTTTGGGTCACATGTCACAATATTGGAGAAGGGTATGTGTTGAAATAGGAATAGCAAAATAAGGGTATTTTTGATATAATGCCCGGTAGAGGTGTTGTAAATTTGATGTAAAATTGATGGTCCTTATGTTACAGACGATACCGGTAAACCCGAAACCGTTCTTGAACAACTTGACCGGGAAGACGGTCATTGTCAAGCTTAAATGGGGAATGGAATACAAAGGTACAATCTTTTTTTTTTTCCCTTCTCTTCCTGAAAGTCTGAAACTAAATTCACTGGTGATTATTCAAAGCTTATACATACTTTATTTCCTTTCTCCGAATTGTCAATGGCGCAGGTTTTCTGGCATCTGTGGACTCCTACATGAACTTGCAGGTGCATTTTTAGCTTCTGTATTCATTGTTCATAATAATGCTAAGCTCATAAAAGCTTACACTTTGAATTATGTTTCGGATATGAATCTGCTAGATATAATCCATACCATAAGGCATGTGATTGTAGAGCAAAGATTGATATATTTACTCGTAAATAAGTTTATGTATAGCATGTATACATGTGCTCTACATTACTATCATCATAGCCATTGAAATTTTTCATACTGTTTGCAGCTCGGAAATGCTGAAGAGTACATCGATGGGCAATTAACCGGAAACCTGGGAGAGATCTTGATCAGGTAAGAGAATTTTCATAGATTCTTCTTATGGGTTTTTTTTTGCAGCTTTGTTGAAATTCATCCGCTTGGTCCATTACTATAGATTCAGATTATGATTATACTGTAAATGATCAGAGTATAACCATTAAAACATCAGAAATAGAGCTTGCTGGGGATCATTGATGGTTTTGATTTTGATGGGTTTGGTCTGTGCAGATGCAACAATGTTTTATACATGCGAGGTGTACCTGAAGACGAGGAACTCGGAGATGCTGATCACGACGACTAAATGTTTAATGGAGAGATACTTAGAGGCAAATGTTATCCGTTTTGTCTGAATGTTAGATATTATATGAACCCTAAATCCGATTGAGAACCTGAGGCGAACTGGATTAATTTCACGTCGGTCCGTCAATATATTCCAAAACATTAGAAAATTATAGATGTGTAGCCAAAATAGTTTTTTTTTTCTGGCTCTTTTTAATGATTTTTGACGTTCATCACTCATTTTCTCAGTACCATTCAATAATGTGGAATTCATGATTTCTCCCTTTCTCCCCATTATTGCAGTCTTGATTGGTATCCTTTTTTCTCCCCCGTCGTATGGATTATTGAAAATGGTCCAAGAAATACATATATATATGCCTACTTCACTTCACTTCACTTCTAAGCCTCAAGAAATTTGCTTTGGGCAAATGGCCATTGTATATAAAGATTGGCAGATTAGCAGAATAAGTAATGGTGATTCAGGGAGAAAAAAAAGAAGACACTTGAGCATTGCAGAAAGGGGGCACAAGACAAGACAGTGTCCTCTTCTCAAGTCTTATACAAAAGGGCACAGATACTTCACCACTACTCTACAGTGCCCACATCATCACCACCAACACTTCATTTCCCTATTGTAACTTTTATAATTGAAGATAAAAAATAATGTTGAATTCAAAATGAACTTACTCAGCCTATATAAACAAAAATTTTTTTAAAAAAAAAGAATTATTAGAGTGGGATATCTTTAAGTTTGTCTGAAGAGGAGGAAGAAGAGCTTCCTTCCTGTAAACTCCCCATAATAGCTCGCTCGGTGTATACTCTTTTCTCCGTGTACGAACACAAATACAAATGATCCGTGCGGTGATATTACCACACATCACGGAGATATCTACCACTCATTTGCAGGTTCTTCACAAAGCTCTCTGCTTTGGAGCTATCCATTGATCCCTGCAACCATGGAAATGTTGAATGCTTTCTCAAAATCTGATGATCATCAACTCAGTGAGGACTTCTTATCACTCATCAAAACGGAGAGGGGGTTACCTGTTCTTGAACTATAGTGTGGAGGGCTCGATGAACATCTCTCGCCATGCCCTTTGCATCACCGCATACATATAGGTAACCTCCCTGCGATATCGTCTTCCACATTTCCGACGCCTGCCCCAAAATAAAAAACGCAGAAAGATGATCAAAATCCACCCGAGAACCCGAGATTTCTCTGGCATCTGTCTGGCTCATGAAACTTTACCTTGTCCATCATCTTGTGCTGGACGTATTCTTTAGTGGGTCCTTCGCGTGAGAAGGCAACAACAAGCTCTGAGAGGGCACCTCTCTCCACAAACCTCTGGAGCTCATCCTCGTATATGAAATCCTGCCATTTATCAAAAAGAGATTATTACTGAGCCGAAACGACCAAAGATAACTTCTTCCAACACCGCATAGAGATGACTCACCATTCTACGGTTTCTGCACCCGAAGAACATAATTGATGATCCGAGTTCAACCCCAGATTCTTTCAGGGCATGTCTTTCCTGAGAACATGATCGCAAAAAACGGTTAGCCTCGGATTGATCTCGACATGACAACACGGGGTGGGGTAGATGTAGGAAAATGAGAATCTCACCTGAAGGAAACCTCTGAAGGGAGCCAACCCAGTCCCAGGACCGATCATAATGATTGGTACTTTAGCATCTGAAGGAAGTTTGAAGTTGGACTGCCTCACAAAAATCGGTGCCCAACAGCAGTTCTCGCTTTTCTCCAAAGGCACGGCATTCTGTGGATTATGAAAGCGAAGATTCATAATACATGGACAATAAGACCACATTTCACTGACAAGAACAACAAACTACGATAGATGATCATTGATAATATTAAGGATTTATACCTTCATCCAAGTTGAGCAGACACCCTTGTGAATCCTTCCAGTTGGCATCTTGTCGAGAACCAGAGCACACGTCACATGAATTCTAGATGGCACGATCCTGAAGAAGGTAAATGGTTATTACATGAGTTCGAGACACAAAATAAACATTGAAAGAAACACATAAAGGCATCTATCTATCTATCTATATACTCACTTTGGAGATGACGAGATTGAATAGAACCTAGGCTGCAGCCTCGGAGCAACGGAGGCAAAGAAGACGCCTATGGAAGGCTTGGCTGAAGGAAACTCAGCCATCACCTCAAGGAGACTTCTCTGACTTTCCACTATCCATTTCGCATACTCGTCCTGTTGTTGAAAGGGAATTAGTCACTAATTAGAGGAATAAAAAAGGAAACTGCATGAAAGAAATTAACGATCAACTCAGCCACAACCTTCCCAGCTGGTGACGCAAGGTGTCTTAATCTGTCAGCTTCGGTCGGATCAGAAGCATGAGCGGCCAAAGCAAGTAACACAGACTGTAGAAAACAAACGTGTGAATAAGGAAATCAAGAATTAGAATACTTGGATATGAAAAACCAGGTTGCTAAAACAGTACAAGAAACCAACAATTATCCGAAGAGATCAGACATGGACCAACCTTCTTAGGAGAACTCAGAAGACACGCGTATCGAGTTAGTGCTGTCCTTAGAGTGCAAGGTGGGAATGGAGGAGGAAGAGAGCCACTTGTGATCGGTGTACCGTCCTCTTTATCAGTATGGAGGGCAAAATAAATATCACCGGACATATCGAGCAACCTAAGTGCTTCCTCCACCGTTTCACTTGAGTTCTGACTGTATACACCAACATGATCTCCTGCTTCATACCTAGAGCCAAGAAGTTGACGACAAACAATACACCATCAGCAATGTTCTTAAAACATGATGAAGGTAAGCACGACAAGACAAAGATGAGCAGTAAAACTCACGAAAGTCCAGTCCCAGCTATGTCAAATTCCAAATGGGTGCAAGAACGGTCTGACTCGGGAGTATGAAGTTCCTTCTTTATGGCAACATTAGCCCTTTAAGTGGTAAACAAAGCATAAATCAGATCGGGTACTACACATGACAAGAAAATAAACTCCAAAAGGGTATTATTGCGAGAGTACCTGTATGGATGTTGAGCATCATACACAGTACGACCATTTCCATTGGCCAAGCTCTCCTCCAGTTTTCCATCTTCAGAGTCATACACGGAAACTCGGTATTCCAACACGGCTGCTGTGTAAGGTGTAGTAACAGCTACATCTCCCTCATCCCAAAGCAACTTATCCAACTTTGGCCATAAGGATTCACGCCTGAGAAAAAGTAGCAGCATTAGCCAGAAGAAAAATCGATGTTCGAAACCAAGACAACATAAGATGACAATTTGAATCAGTGAATACCAAGCAGTGAAGTCATCTTCAATACATTGGTCATCATCTCCAAGACCCACAGGTACAAGACGCTCGGCACCTGCCAATGAATCAAGGAGATTATAAACAATTCAGGCTTCACATCATATACACTGAACAGGCTTCTAATTCATAAATGTTCCAATAGCTCTTTAGCTTTCGATATCAGAAGAAAAAGAAATAAAAAGGTTGAACATTTATGCATACCTTGATCGGAAAGCATCTCATCCACCACCTTGGCGATCTGCACACAGAGATTTGAAAAGGAACCATTTGAATATTAAGTTACTCCAAAGCACACAACTTTAGAAGGAAACCAAAAACCAAAGACAAAATCGTAGTAGAAACATCAATGTACAAGAACAAGGATTCAATCTAAGACCTTGTTAAAATGTTCATACTGTCTGTTTCCTAACCCAAAGACTCCGTATTTCATGTCCTTGAGCATTTCTCCATTGTCGTCCCCCTGTAAAATCAGTTAAAAACCTCTCAGGAAACCAAAAATCGAAACCTAAAAACGCTAAAGTTCTTAGCAAATCCAACTAAAAGACTCACCTCTGTGAACCATTTATAGAATCTGGCCGCATTATCAGTAGGCTCACCATCTCCGTATCTGCAACCGAATCATCTAACCAGAATGAGCCAAGAAAAGCTAAACGCCAACAGTTACAGGAATATAGAACGATCAAGCCAATAATACTAACGTGGCCAAGAAGAAGAAAGCAAATTTTTCCTTCTTCAATTTCTCCGCGTACTCATCATCATCTGCAGCATAATCTTCCTGTAGAAATACCCAAATCAGGTTGAAAACCATAGTACCAGAAGTGAATTTCTAAATTCTGAAACAGCAAGTGAGAATCAAGCTCAAAACTCCAGAATTTTTTGCTGGTACTTACCAAATCAACGACTTTGAATCTGGCCTTCTCATACCTCGCCTTAGCTTCCTCCGCAAGCGCCTGTAGTTTTAAAAAACCATTTCAATACACAAATTCCGAGCACAACACACTAACAGAGAAGACAGTCTTTGTACCTTGGCAAAACCTTCGGCGGTTCCGGTCTGAGTGCCGAAGAAGATAGTGACCTTCTTCCTCCCGTCTTCGACCTCCTCCTCACGGGGCTTGAGCACCAACGGCTTCAGAGGCTCGACGCGCTTGGGCTTGTTGCCGCCGGATCTCCGCCACACAAGGAAGAACACGCAGCCGATGAGGACGGCGATGGAGGTGGTGAGGAGCGCCGCGAATTCCCTGTTCTCTGTGAGAATCGCGGCGAACTCGGCGGCGACGGACTCGTAGACGGAGGCGTTCGCCGGGTCGGAGACAGCCGACTTTCCCTTGATGATCGCCGACATGAGATCCAACGGCGACATCTTGACGAAGCTCGACGGAGAAGAAGACGCCATGGCTCGGAGTAGGTGAGGTCGGTGGATGAAGAAGAAGAAGAGCTCTGTAGATTTTTTTTTTCTTTTTTGGTTGGTTAGGTGTGTGGTGTTGATGAGAGAGAAACTCCTAAGAACAAGAGAGAGATATTTATATATGCATGTATGTAACCGCGGAGGATGGCACAACGGCCACCAAACCAGACCGGTCAGGTCAACACACTTAACGCGTCTTGGTTTAACCATGGTTAAGCTTAATCGAAGCGTGTGGCTTTTTTAATTTTTTAATTTTTTAATTATTAATGACGCAAAATAAATACGCGAAACATTGTCATATTTCTCAGAATATATTATGATTTGCATGCTAATATTCAATTACTAAATCAAACAAAAAACGACGAAATAAAAATTACGGTTATGAGGAACAGTCCGACCAGTAGTCATTTAACTAAATCATTCAAATCTGGATCATAAGTTTGAAAATGTCAATAAAAACCTTTTTGACTTTAGAATCATTTGAAAATGAACAAAGTCAAGTCGAATTGTTTAAGTTTTTGAATTTAATAAAAAAAGGAGTGTAATATAAAATAGGAGGTGGACACAAAATGCAGATAGAAATGTGAATAATATGGATCCAGCAAAGCCACCAACCTTTCCCCCACGTGGACGAAACCCCTTCACAGTCTCACTTCCCATGTCCCTTTCCTCCACAATTTTTATTTTATAAAGCCCTTTTCTTGTATCAATTATGTATTTTGTTTGTTTTGTTATACTTTTTTTTTTTAAATGAAATTTGTTATAGAACATTTTTTTTTTGAAATTAGGTGAGACGGATGACTCGTAACGTGGAGAACTACATTTGTCTAGGCCTTTTTTTCTTCAGAGGCAACACATACTTAATATTTTTTTTTTGTACGATGGAAACCCCTATCCTACAACCCTTCGGGTTGGACACCGGACACCGCAACGCCTCTCAGTCCGTGGGCCGGACGAGAACGACATCTGAACAGCATCGCGGACCTGAGAAAACCCACCGCCCCGTGCAATACCCGGCAAACCACACGGAGCAGGTAAAGCAGCCTCGTAAAGCTGGCCGGCTAAGGGGAGTACCATACCCTGGGTTTCGAACCCACAACCTCTCGGTGTGGGTTGTCATTAACCACTGGGCTGGGGACTCCCCACATACTTAATATTTTACTAATCAGTTATTAAATATTAGATCATTTTAGTTATTACATATCATTGAGCATTTACAAAAAATTATAAAATTCCCATTAAGACTTTATATCATGAAAATAAAAATATCGAGTTCGAACTAATAGGGAAAATGTTTTTAATTTAATTTATTCATTAACAAAAAAACATATATAATTTATTAAAAACTCGAAAATCCACGCGCCGAACTTTAGAACGAGACGAATTCTGCGGATTTCATGCAATGAGGAATAGGCACGTGAGCCCGACGCGCTAACACTGAGAGTGGGCATTGTACCTTGAATTTCTCAATATTGTGTTGTATTGGGCTACTGTTTTAAATGGGCCTCATTAAAGTACATTTCAGATGCGTTTTGGGCCTTATCATTAATTGGGCTGATTTTACTCAGCATAGTAAAAAAAACAGAAACAAGGTTCGGTAACTTATTGTAAAATATAGTTTTTCTTTTGAATTCATTGAGTCAATATCAGTAAATTAAAATTTTTAAGTTCTATCAGATTTGATGATGAAATTATAAACATGCACGTGTGATTATATTGTCTTAAAAAGGAGATAAAAAATCAGTAAATGCCGTAAATACGTAAAGAATCAACCATGAAAAGCTTACCGTGTGTGCCTTGGAAATATGACTACAGACCCAAAAGTTACATTATATATTTTTTATTGTATTGTTTTGTCCGACGATCATTGCAATAATATATGAAATGAAACTCTCTCTAAGTTCGAAGCCCGGCCTTATGGTACTTGGGTCGGATTCAAATTCGGATTGGGTCGGGTCGACCAGTTTAATTCATTACTTTTTGAGATTCGGCGTAAAGATTTACATTTTCAAGATCTGAAGTTAAATTCAATCATATCTGTGTGTTATTGTTTTTTGTGATACGTCGATGTCCGATGGAGAGCGACATGCATGTGTAGTCGAGCACATCACATGTAGGACACATGCATGGAAATGGGTAATGACAAATCGACAATATAATTTCTGCAATTGCAGAAAACCACGTAATTTATTAAAATATCTACTCTAAATATGTTATAGTTTTTATAAACTTTAAAATTATAATTACCGTAGTTGAATAAAAAAATTGTTATAATTGTTTGATATTTTGCTGCGTTATGCTCCAAAGGTCGTTATTGCTTGGCACGACGCCTGTGGAAATAAATAGATTAAGCGCGAAATGAACAAGAAGAATTAACGGTGTTCGTCCTACGTGGCATCTAACCGTTCAATTTCCCGGCGAGTTTGTTATCGTACGACATCATTGTGAGTTGGACCCAACCAATATAAAATTGACACGTAAACGAAAAGGAGGACGATGAAACCAAGAAATAGTTTGAGTGGAGAGAACGGGAATGATGTGTGTATCATAATGTACTGGATTCCTAATTAATATAAATAACTCTTATTTTAATTTTTTCTTTTCTATTCGTTCACCCGCCGAGATAGATCTCTCGGGGAGAGAGACACATTCACTGTTTTGACTTCCTTTTTTAAATTCACATATCTGTACATTCTCCGGCGACTTCTCCGCCGCATATCGGAGCTCCGGTCAACGGCTAACGATGTCAGTGACGGAATTCGAATTTAGAGTAAGGTTTCTCTCTACTTGTACCAGACCCTGCTTAACGATCTTCCAAAATCTCTCTCTCTCTCTCTCTCTCTCTGTAAGGTTCATCATCGTCCTCTCTCTGTGTTTGTTTCTCTTGCAGGCCTCGTCTCAGTTGGGCTTATCCGGGATCGGGTGAGGGGGTTTTTTGTGTCATTTCTGGGGTTTTGCGCATCGATCACTGTTGGATTATGCGTGATCGATATTTTGACTCGGGGTTTTGTTTGACGAAAACAGGGAGCATAATTTCGCCGATGTCGATAATCTGGATCACTGTATCAAGTACTTGAACCAGACTTTGGTTACCTTCGGATTCTCGGCTTCGCTCGACCTCTTCGCTAGCGATCCTGTTCGTTTTCTCATCGATTTCAGGGTTTTGTTTTCATCAATTCATTTTGTTTCTCTCGTGTTTTTTCCTCCTGTTCCTGATTCGAGGAATTCCCCGTAGGTTTCGGTCGCCAGAACATGCAATTGCATATATGCATTGCTTCAGCAGAGACAGAGAGATGTGGAATTCAGAGAATCTGCTAATGATCACAGACAACGGTGAATATGCATACCCTTTTGTCCCCTGTAGTTTCTTGTTTTGTTTTCTGGGTTCATTGTCTTTTTCGCTTATTGAATTTTTAGAGAATGAGATGGCCAATGTGTTCTAGTCACGTTTGAATATGAACATTGTTTTTTTTTCCCCTTTCTATGTATAAAGATGTTTAGGACAGAGAATTAGAATGCTTTCCGGGAAAGGAAAATGACTTCTGACCTCTATTTTCTGAAAGTGTCACCGTTTGTATCAATGTAGATTATGTTTGCATAAGCGAGTCTGTGAAATTTTTGTACACTTTATGGACGATTGAGGGCAGTCTTTTACCAACTTTACTTGTGTTAGACTTCTGTCCGACACGGCCAGACTCGAGTCGAAAGTGGAAAGGCTTGAGACTCAACTGCAAACCAAGGAAAGGGAAATTGCTTCGGTCACAAGAACAGTAAGAAAGCGATAATCGGAAG